GTTCAAGTTTCTGCCATTTACTAACTGAGACGGTGTAAGAGGGTATGATATTCCGTCGCTATCATCTACAACGTATGTAATAGGACGAGAATTTATTACATTTTCAATTTCGATAATCAAGGTTGTTAACTCGTCGTATGAGACCAATGCTCGCCCAACAATTTTGATCAAACAGCGCTTGACAGACCGAATCATTCTCTCCCAAAACCCGCCCTGAAATGGTGAAAGTTCAGGGATAAATCTCCATTTAATGCCCTTTAGATTGAAATGTTCGGAAAGTCTTGGAGAGCGTAACAATTTCTTAATTTCCATAGAAACCGACCTAAATGTTTTAGCATTGTCCGTTATTATTGTGGCCGGTAATCCTCGACGCGCACAAAAACGTCGAAATGCCCGTATGAAATTTTCTACCGATAAAGACTCGACCATTTCTAGGTGAACAGCTCGGGTAGAGCCGCACGTAAATAAACATAAATAGGTTTTTACGACTTCACCTTTTTCTTTACCTACCACAAACAGGGGGCCCGCGAAATCTATACCTACGTGAGAAAATGGGGGTGCTTCGTCTACACGCATCCTTGGTAGATCTGGGTTATAAACTGTCTTGAACGGTAACCCCTCAATTTTCTTACAAACAATACAATGACGAAGACTTCGCTTAACTTGCTCTCTCCCCCGGAGTATCCAATACCGTTGCCTTATCAAACTCAAGGTATCAACAGTGCCATTATGAAATACCTTTTCGTGTGAATCTGAAATTATCAATTCGGTGTACCTATGTTTGGCCGGCAAAAGTATCGGCCGTTTACCCGTGTCCGGAACTATGGAATGCCCGATGCGTGACCTACAACGAACTATATTATGTTCATCCAGATGTAAATTGAACTGTTTAACATAAAGAGGAGTTTTCATCGTCTTTCTAATCGATTCCGTTTGAGATAAATAATGAAGATCATTAGCAAAGGCTTCTTTTTGGATGGATTGAATCAACATTGTCTCGGCTCTTACTACTTCAGAGACTGTCAAATTTTGTTCAAAATTCAAATTCGATTTTTTAACGGACGCCTTGCAATTGGAAACAAATCTTAACACCCAACCAACACATCTTAATAACTTATCCTTTTGACTAAACCGTTCCATTTCTACAATTTTATCAACACTCGTTGTCGGCTTATTACTTGTGATTACCATACTGTGCGTTATTTGTGGATCAGATTTTACCCTTTCCTTCATTGCCATTTCTGTTTCAAGGTCATTCGCACATGGAGATTTAGGCCATTCATGGGGTTGTGAGGTAAGGAATTCAGGACCTTCCCACCACAAAGAGTTTGACTCAATATCACGATACTTACCACGAGAAGGCAAATCAGCGGGGTTGAGGGGACCTGGGCAATAAAACCATTGTTCTCTATTTGAGTGTTGTAAAATTTCATTAACTCTACTACGCACGTACTGGACCCATGGTTTACAATTCTTTACCCAGCACAAAACAGCCATTGAATCCACCCAATAGTATTTTTCAATAATTTGCCTCTTAAATTCTTCTTGCATAACCCCGTAAATAGTTTCGACTAGCTTGACCATTAATACTGCCCCTAGAAGCTCTAACCGAGGAATACTCTGCTGTTTAATGGGCGCTACCTTCGACCTAGACGATAATAACCTGGTACTTATTTTGCCTGATTCGTATTCTACACGCAAATATATTGAAGTAGCGAAAGCAAATTCACTCGCATCAGAAAAACCATGCA